AAAAAAAAACAAAAAACAAAAAAAAAGAGGCCAGAAAAGATAAACCCAAATGATTCAACCAGGTGTTAGAAAGGTGAGAGTAGGGACAGGTGTGTTTACCTCTTATTTTCCGTGGTTTTATTGCTCTTGTAATGAAAAACATGATTGTAAAACTCCTAAGCATTACTCAAATATAAATAGTCTGGAACTTGTCTGTTCCTTTCTGCTCCCCTTTACACTCAGCCATCCCCATGCAGTGAAAAGGAGTGGTAGCAGCCAGAGCTGAGATCCCATCTGGGTTTCCCACAGTGGAACGTGCTCCTCCTAATAGGCCATAAACTACCCCTGTCCCGTTCAGCGGGCCCCAGGGGCTTCTCAGACTCGGACCCGTGGTTTAAATCATGCCACCACCACTTTGGGAAAGATGACTGACTCACACTCACTTACCCACTCGGCGCCCTTCCTCTGCCTCAGCAATAATGACCAGGAGGTATTTCCTGTGGGAATGAAAACTGACCGTCTAGTACATCCTGTTCAGGGTTACAAGTCTAAAGCTCTTTTGCATTTGTTTTTCTTTCTCCCTCCCTACTTTTCTATTAGGAATGGTTGACAACACTGTTTTGAAGACTGACGCACGTATGGGCACTGCTGTCAAGAGTCGCCTCCTGTTTTTGAAACACATTTCCCTGCATCAAAAGGAAGCGACATCAAGCTGGATCACGTATGGATGATCTTGGTGCCACAAGGAAAGATGTCTGGACCTTGCAACCATTCCATCTAAAATATATTTTTTGGAACATTTTCTTGATTTAAAATCTCTTTTATGGTAAATATCTAAAACATCTCAGAAAAATCATAGAGGAAGTTTTCATTTTAGAGCCAGAAAATAAGCTTGGGCCACCTAGGATAGTTTGCATAGTGCTCTTAGAACACAAATGATTTGATTCACTTTATGAAAAATAAAATGCTATTAAAATGTAGTTCAAATGTTGATCTTAAACCAAGTATTGATTTTTGTCATTCATTGCACTTCACCCATCTTGGAACCACTCAGTGAATAAAATAGTAAAGAATGGAAACTGATTTACACTTAAACAATGTAACTCAGTCCTAAATGAAACTTCCAGTGTCCGTCCATTTTGTTCATCATCTCATTACAACAATGAGCCCAATGCCTGGCACATCATTTTTTTTTTTTTGAGAGAGAGACAGAGAGTGAAAGAGAGAGAGACAGAGAGCTGGGGGGGGGGGCAGGGAGAGAGAGAGAGAGAATCCCAAGCAGGCTCCACACTCAGCATGGAGCCCAACATGGGGCTTGATCTCACAACCCTGAGATTATGACCTGAGCCAAAATGAAAAGTCAGATGCTCAACCAACTGGGGCACATCATTTTTTAAAATAGTCTTAACCAGGGGCACCTGGGTGGCTCAGTCGGTTAAGCATCCAACTCTTGATTTCGGCTCAGGTCATGATCTCATGGTTATGGGATCAAGCCCTGCATTGGGCTCCATGCTCAGCAGGGAGTCTGCTTAAGATTTTTCTACTCTCTCTCTCCCTCTGCCCCTTCCCCTGCTCTCTCTCTCTCTCTCTTTCTCTCTCAAATAAATAGATAAATCTTTTTTAAAAAACAGTCTTAACCAGTTAAGAGTTATTGCATGCTTTCCGTATGCACGCTTTCCAGAGTGTCTAACAAACACTATGCACTTACGGACTGACTTAATGTTCACAAGCATATAAGGCAGGTATTATTATTTCCAATTTACAAATGTGTAAACTGAAAGACTGTGAATAATTTGCCAAATATCTCACAACTAGTAATAGGCAGAACAGAGATTTGGAAACAAGCCTGTGATTAGCTATTATACCATATGTCTCTCCAGTATGGTAAGTCCTAAATAAATATCTGAAAAATTAATAAAAATTTAAATATATGTCTTCAGGACCATGCTTCCACCTGGGGGTTGGAAATCTGAATATTAAATTTTGTCTTCTACGAGTAGTGGTAGGCACATTTTCAGAAGCCAGGTATAGAGACTCCATTCACAAAAGGTCCTTGCGGAGAAAACAATTTGGTTTGTTTATGTTGGGAAAGTCAAATCAAACTACCATCACCTCTCTCCAAAACTGAACTCAACCAGTTTTTATTCTAATGATAATTGACTAGCAGCTGTTTTAGTGTTTGAGGGAACCCCATTAACGAGTACCCTTTTTCTCCTGAGTGCCAATGAAAATTAAAACAAAGGTTTGAGGCAGTTAGAGACTAAACCACCCACACACCCCCACACACACCCACTCATGCACACGCCTTTATTAGTAACTGAACTGACATAAAGAACTTGGTTGCCTTCTGACCCCCAGAATTGGATGTATTGACCATTGTAGGCATTTATCATTAAGTTTACTGCATAGCTGAGAACAATAAACAATGCAAGATTTGTAAAGTCAAATTCAGTCTTAAAAGAAATCAGGAAGAAAGGCGTGACAAAGAATGCCCAGATTCTGCTTCCAAATTCATCAATAAGCCACTCCACCTCAGCAGAATGAATGAGTTGGTGACAAGCCATGAGTGTTGGGGTAATGGAGAGTAAAGCCCTCAATCCCGAACAAGACACCAGGTGGGGAAGAAGTTCTCCACCAGTAGCTTGTCACTGACGGCGAGCTCAGTAGGCACCAGACGCTCTTCCGAGTGTTTTGCCCTCAGTAGCTCAGGCAATCGTCACAGGAACTTTAGGAAGTGGGTACTATCACTGCCTCATTTTACAGAGGAAATAATGGGATTTAGGGAATTCAGGTAAATTACTCGAAATCACAGCTAGATGTAATGACATCGGTTTTCAAATCCTTTAAGCACATCCAGTATAATTTGTGAAGTAAATTCCCCAGACTTCGTTTTGGAAATCTAAAGCACCGGAGAAGAGGATACACTGCACAAATATTAGTCATGGTCAATTTTTGGCCAGGTTTGTGTTCTGGAGTGTAATCATTTTCACATGGGGAAAGAACCCTGAACAAGGTACTGAGATATGAAGTAAGTCCAGCGCCAGGCATGGTATATACCCACCCATCAGCAGGATCTGGGTGATTGTTGCCCAGGACTCTTCCCTCATCTGAAATAATGTAATGCGCTGACTTTGACCTGAGGAGGATGCTTAGAGCTCACTTACACTTGACTCTACAGTGGAAACCCCTTTATTTGCTTACAAAGCCCAGAATGTCTGCTTTTAAAATTTGTAGATAAAAGGCTTTCCTTGATCCTTTAACTCTTGGATTTCTTTTTAATTTAGCTTTTAACTTTTATGGTGCTTAAGCCCAGTTTGTAATTTTCCCCCCAGATTCTTAATCATGTATGTTCTATGTTAATCTCACTAATGAGAAACCAGAAACATTGCAAATGAAGGAATATTCTTCCCAAGGGTCATTCGTGGCTCAAACAGTGACAGGGAAGTGCTATACTCTCCACCTGCCATTAGATTTGTAAGAGCCCTCTCAGTGAGCTGAGCAAATCCCCATTTTGTTGCCAAATAGTCCTCTTACCATTAAAAATAACCCTCTGTGTTGTTATGATTCCTGGAAAGTCAGCAGAGCTATATGTGAATATCCCTCCACCAGAAAGCAAAATCCCAGGCCCAAAGTTCAGTTAGGGAGGTACTGAAACTCTGCTATTACCTCCTGTTTCAAACCAAGTACACATTAGTGAGGAATATCAGCAATGAATAGCCAGAGTTTCAAACACATAACTAACTCTCTGCACCACAAAGTAAACAGTTGGAAAATTACCCTCAGGAATACCACTCAATAATATCACTCCATGAAGTCTTTACCCTCTCCGTAAGTCCTTTGGGAAGGAAGCAGAATAGGGAAAACTTAGCTAAGCTATTAGATTCCTGACTCTACAAGAACTCTTAAATAAACCAGTTCTTTTCCTACTATAAAATGATCCATAAGGATTTTCCTTTCGCATAAATATCTCTCCCAGCTCCCTTCGCTAGCCACAGGAGTCTACAAAGGAGTAAGCTAGAGCCAGATTTATCCCATCCAGTTCTTTGAGACCGAAGAAGCTCGAAGAATCACTCTTATCTGAAAGCCCTCTAACCTGCCTTAGCAGCTGAAGCCAGCCAGGTGTTTGAAAAGCCACATAAGAATTGGGAAGCATAACACACTCCAAACATGAAAGTATGTTTCAGTCTTTCCAGACACATTGGAGTGTTACAGACCAGAGTTCAAAGCTAAGTTCATCTTTCCACAAGTACTTACTGAATAGGGCAATGAATAGACAGAAAGTGTCCACACTTCTTTTGAACTCAGATTCTAGCTCTCTTTCTTATTAAGGGGTGTCCTTGAGCAAGTCACTTGGCTTGTATGAGGCTGGGTGGCCTCATCTCTAAAATAGAGGAAATAGTCTTTATCCCATAGAATTCTTGCATGAGGGATGCCTGGCTGTCTCAGCTGGTCAAGCGTCTGCCTTTGGCTCAGGTCATGATCCCAGAGTCCTGGGATTGAACCCCACATCGGGCTCCCTGCTCAGCGGGGAGTCTGCTTCTCCCTCTGCCTGCCTGTATCTCTCTCTCTCTCTCTCCCTGACAAATAAATAAAATCTTAAGAAAAAAAAAGAATTCTTGCATGAACAAATGAGAAATTATATCTAAAACATTTAAACAGTGCATGGATTATAGGAAGTTCTCAACAAATAGTTATTTTGATATTAGCCTATGATCTTGAGATACAGGAAAACAGTGTTTGCATTTGTCATCAAGTGTCTGCAGTAATGCCAAAGGATAGGAAAGTAAATTTGAAGATTTCAACTCAAACTTCCACTGATTTCACCATCATCTGTTTACAAAGATCCAGGCTTCTATTTCCACTTCAATTCCTATAGTTTCTCATGTATTAGGCACCGGGGTCAGCACTGAGGAGGGTAAAAAGGCGGATCTGATTCAAAAATTTGTTATTTTGGCTTCTTTTTGTGGGGATGAGTGCTGCTATACTTCCATTTGTGAAGTGGAGGTAGATTATTTAGTCCAGAGTCATTTTCACAGCAATAAATGTGTGTATTTTCTATCCATGTCCTGCTCTTCCCTGCTACATCACACAATCACAGGAAATTTTCACGATGGGTAGCTAACACTTCTACTCAGCTCAGCTTCTCCATCTAGTGGCCTGAGTAGAAGTGCAGCTTGAAGGTTAAGGAGTGATCCCCAGCAATGGCATATTGATTTCCAACCCTCACCCCTGAGGCACTGACCCTTCGGCTTTGCTCAACACTGGAACTAATTAAGCCACCCATGGGATAGTGTCCGGGCTGTTTGCTCAAACTGTTCCACCCAGAGTCTGGGATATCTTAATTCATACTGATGACGAGTCAGCAATAGTCCTACTCACTGGCTAAATGTCCTTGGCCATTTTGTTTTCTCCATAATACTGAAAAATTATGGTTCCCTTCTGCTGACCTCTAGGTAGGGTGAAAGGTACAGACGCCATTGAGGAGAGGGACTTTTAGATTGAATTGAAATTTTTTTTCGTTTTTTCCTGAAGGTAATGGGGAAGAGGAAGGTTAGTTATAACAATGTGTCAAGACTACTTCATTTTCTCTCTCTCTCTCTCTTTCTCTGTCTCTCTCTCTCTCTCTCACACACACACACACACACCACTTTCTTCATACACAGAATGGCAGACCATTGGCTGTTACCCCAGATTTCTTACACACAGAAAAGAATGCTTTAGATAACTTCGAAGACATTCCCTAAAATGTATTGCAGTTGGTCAGCCTGGGAAAGAAAGTGGTTTTGACAGAGAAGAATGGGAGAAACAGATTAGTGCAGCCCTAGATTTCTTAGACCTGTATTCAGTGGACCCCCCCCCTAATTTTTTTTGTTAAGAATCTTCTTTCTTACTTCACTGCTTCACTTAATTTGCTGAGGAAAGGGTTTCCTGAATTTTAGATATTCCCCAGGTAAGAAAATCTACCACCCTAACATCTTTCCTAGAGTTAATTACCCTAGGGATTAATGAAAACATTGAATGGTGGTACTGTTGGAGAAATATAATGAAAAAAATCTCCTGCCATCCCAGAAAAATCTTTCCATAAAAGTAGAAGGAAAAAAAGTTTTATTATTTAATAAGCATTGAACCAGAATGCGCAGCAAGCCACAAGTGATTCACTATGGAGATTGTAAAGACCATGGAATTGTGTCCTTTTATATAACCAAGCAGATACAATCCATTGCATGCATTCTTTCAAGATGAACAGTGACTAGTCCTCAAATAAGAGGATTTGACTGCACCACTTGCCACACACAACTCATCCTAAATTCATTTGGTAACATATTTGCTAACTGTCCTTAAAAGAGAACATTTCCTCTTTTTTCCATGGAAGTAGCTTGCAATTTGGAGTCCCCAGGCCAGCTGAATTTCTGCAGCTATTCCCCAGGGGTGGGGGGACTGGGAGGTTGGGCACGATCTTCCTTGATGATTACATTTCAAAGAGAAAGCTCCCAGATCCTGAAGGAAACATTCCTGGGTTGCTTATTCAACCTTTACAAGATTTACTTGCCCTTCAAAGGTAGAAAGAACTTACAAGTTCTCTAATGGAAAAGCTTTAAGAAAAGAGCGGAGAGAAAGTCCCCACCCTCATTTTCAGCAGAGAGAATTAAACTTCTTATCTTTTAAATTTGTATTTGCCCTTAGAGTACTAAAATGTTAGAAATACTCATGTATTTTGCTTTGAGCCTCCAGTGCTCCTAGACTGGCTTTGCCCTCCTTTCCCTACAGTTCCTCCTCACGTCAGAATGTTTTCTCCTCCTCTGCAGGGACTGTTATCTCTCGGTCGGTTGGTAGTGAAGCCCTCCTGGAAATGCTCCACATGGACAGACTGAAGCCTGGGGAGCAGCTAACAAGGGTGGCTGCAGACCTAGTATCCGCCCCATGCTGCTCCTCACTGCGGCACGTGTGACCTCTGCATTACTCAAGGACAAGCAAGAAAGTAGCTTGCATTTTGTCTTACCTCATTTCAAGGAGCCCCATGAGGGCAAGCCTCTATCTGCTTTGCTCCACGTTGAACCCGCAGTGCCCAGCGTATAGTAGGAGTTCAACAGACACTTGTTAAAGAAATAAAGAAACGAATGAGTGACCAAACTGGAACCAGCCATCAAATATAAGAATAATCCCAAAAATCCATGGTTCCCTGTCCCCAAGTTCATTTCTTTGTTTTTTTAACCTCTTTTTTTCCCACTGAGACATAATTCACAGAGTAAAATGCACCCTTTTTGGTAGACAGCTATTTAGATTATGAGACACGCGTGCAGTCATGTTGCTACCACCACAAGATACAAAAGAACAGAAAAATTCCCTCCTGCCCCTTGAAGGTCAATCCCTCCCATCCCTCCCCCACCCCCTGCTCCCGGCCACTGCTGATATATTTCCTGTCCCTACCATTTTGCCTGGGGCTGAATGTCATAAAAGGTAGGCTTTAAGTCTGGCTTCTTTCACTTTGCGTGATGCCTTTGAGATTCATCTGTGTTGTTGCATGAATTTGTAGTCCACTCCTTTTTATTATCTGCCAGTCTTGGAGGGATGCGACAGTTTGTCTAGCTGGTCACCCCTTGAAAATCATTTGGGTTATTTCCAGGGTTTGAGGAGCAATTCTGAGTAAAGCAGCTATTGCCTGCAGGTTCCTAGAGATCTTATGTTTTATTTCACTTGGGATTGCTAAATTGTATGATGAGGCTATGCTTACCTTTACAAGAAACTACCATGCTGGTTTTCAAAGAGGCTGAACCAGTTTGCATTCCCATCGGCAATGCATGCAGCAAGCCCTGCATTCCCTCATCAGCACTTGGTGTCATCAGTTTTTCTGTTGTTTTCAACGTTAGCCATTCTAATAGGTGTAAATAAGACAACCAAAGACCCACAATGGCTTTACTTAGGCTAAGTCACCAAATGGGTGCTTAATACCTAACTAAGTGCAATTTCAATCTCCTCCAGAAATGTAAGTCTTAACTGGTGAGTCGGGAATTTTCTGATCAACATCAGTGATCCTCTTCATCCCGGAAAGGAAGAGGAGGTAATCCACCTAATAAGACCCCCTGTCCATCGTCCCTCTAAAGGAAAGTGACTTTGACTGGAACAATTCTTTCTTTTATTTTGCTAATAACTTTCCTGCCCCACCCTCCTATAAAAACCTTCCATTTTGTACAACATCTCTCTACTTGCTGGATGGGATGCTGCCCAAGTCCTGAGTCTCTTAAAAAGCCAATTAAGTCTTCAAAATCACTTGATTGACCTGTTTTTTGGCAAATGTGTATAAAGGTATTGCATTGTGGTTTGATTTACATTTCCCTAATGACTATGGTATTGGATATTTTTTCACATATTTACCATCTACATATTTTCTCTGTTGAAATGTCTGTTCAAATATTTTGGCCATTTTGTTATTGGCTGTTTGTTTGCTTAGTGAGTTTTGAGAGTTCTTTATATATTCTGGATAAAATCTTTTTATCAGATATATCCTTTGTTAATAATTTCTATTGGTCATTGGGTTAACTTGTTTTAACCTTTTTTGGTTTTGTTTTGTTTTGTTTTGTTTTTTGTTTTTAAAGATTTTATTTATTTTTAATTATTTGACACAGACAGAGTGATAGTGAGAGAGAGCACAAGCAGGGGGAGCAGGAGAGGGAGAAGCAGGCTCTCTGATGAGCAAGCAGCCCGATGCAGGGCTCGATCCCAGGACCCTGGGATCATGACCTGAGCCGAAGGCAGCCGCTTAACCGACTGAGCCACCCAGGCGCCCCTAACCTTTTTTTGCTTTAAAACAAAATTCCCTCTCTGACTTTTCCAAGACTACGAAGTGGTTTAATAAATTTAGGAATCTGAAGTGAAAAACTCCATGGCCTGTCTGTAATTGCAGATGGGGCTTCCCCAGAAGCTCAACGCTCTCCTTGACCAATGGCTTCTGGTTAAGGCTAGTAGCCTGGTTCCCTCAGGAGTTGGGAAGGAAACATTTTCCTCTATTCTGGCTGTCCTAAGAATTAAATTGACATGAAACAAATTAACAGGAGAGAAACAAAAGCTCAATAACATGTCTGTCTCTTGTATGTAAGGGAGAGACTCAGGGAAACTAAGCAATTCCCCCAAAGGGCTGAAGCCATCACCTTAAAAACCACCTTCAGTTAAAGACAAAAGATGTTGGGGATGGAGGGTCCGTTGTGGGAGGAAAAGGCACAGTAAACAAGGGTCATGCTGTTATGCAGATTTAATTGCCTTCTGCATTAGTAAAAGTTTCTAGAGACTTAGAGCTCCCTCTTCCTGATACCCTTACACATGGAGATTTTCCTTGTCAATGCAAAAGTCTCTTACAGTAAGGTAATTTCTACTTGATTTTCAGAGCCTGTTTTGTATCTGAAGTTTCTTTAAAGTAACCAACTTAAAATAATATGCCTAAGAGGCATATCTCTGAGTGGCGAAATTTGCTCCCATTTACGGGCTCTGACATTTTAGGAAGTTGTGCATGCGTGCACCTCAGACTCTCCTCCCCCTGGGGTCCTCCTTCCGCCGCAGGGAGGTACTCTTCTCCTTTCAGCTCTCTGGCACTGGTGGCCAGAGCAACACACAGTAAGTCAGGAGCTGCCCCCTTTAGAGCACCAGGCTGGCTGAGGGGAAGTCACCAGGAGAACTGAGAGAATGGGGAACTCTCTGCTGAGGGAAAACAGGTGAGTCCAGACTCCCCAGGGGAAAGCAGGGGACGTGGGACAGAGCCATCAAGAAAAAAAAGAGGTCTTTGGGCAAGGGGAGGGAACAGGGTAAAGAACTGAAAAAAAATTAAGTGCCTACTGATGGTCAGACACTAAGTTCAACTCCTTATAGGGCTGGCCTTCTCCCCAGAATCAGAGTGAGCAAGGAGCTGGTGGAGAACCCCCAAAAGGCAGAAGGACTTTATCAAGGGAGGTCAATGCAGTAAACCATGACTTCAAGAAATGGAACAATTTTCTGCGGGCTGGCAGGGGATGGGGCGGGAGGACAGTCTCCTGAGTTCTGAATGCCTGCAAGGAGCTCAAAGACACCACTACTCTTTTAATTACTATTTTAGTTCAAAATAAATAGCAAGCTCCCAGTGGCAGGAGTGAGGTCTCACCTGGTGCACATTCCCTGCAATGGGTAAGCAGAGGTCATTAAAATCGGTCAAGAATTTGGCTTACTTTTTCTAGACCTCAGTTTCCTAATTTTAAGAGGAAATAATAATACAATACCTACCTTGGAAGTTTCTAGTGCGTGTGATGCTAGCACAGTGCCTTACACACAGTAAGGTTCAATAATAATAAGATATTATTGGGCGCCTGGGTGGCTCAGTCGGTTAAGCGACTGCCTTCGGCTCAGGTCATGATCCTGGAGTCCCGGGATCGAGTCCCTCATCGGGCTCCCTGCTCGGCAGGGAGTCTGCTTCTCCCTCTCCCTCTCCCCGTTTGTGTTCCCTCTCTCGCTGTGTCTTTCTCTGTCAAATAAATAAAAT